ATACTTCCTTAAGGCTTCTTTAAGCCATTTAATTATACCATGCATCACAAGAAAAGAAAATTACTATAAAATATAATTAAAATACACAAAACTGTACATTTTACATATACTCCTATATGCCCTAAATCCAGTAAACACTCTCTCTCACAATGCCACTCACTCACACCTTCCTCTACAAATAGTCCCATAGGAATTAACAACATGTCACATTTTTATATTTCTTAACTCTGACCTAACAATGTCCCTTGGGTCTCTCTTTCTCTTGCAACCTCTAATACACACGAGACAAAAGTACATAACCAACAGCATATTTCCGTTTCTGAAAAAATAAAGAATGAATGAGAATGTTCGGCATGTTACGTATGTCACAAAGTGAAAGGGAGACATTTATGTGACGCAAGTTGAGCAGGGGTAAAACGGTCAAAATGTAAGCTCTTAAGTCATTTATACATCTTATTTTCAAAATTTACAAGCAAGTGAAAGGTAAAGTCCCAAAGAAAGTCACTTCAAAATTATATTCATGCTTTTACGGCCCCCTCAACATGTTACAGGTATTGCACAATTAACACATGCAAAGTAGCTATAATCACAGAATAAAAAGGTCCAACCAGCTATAAAACTAGACCTTGAAAATGTGTACCAACTTTATAACTGGCTGCTATTGAACTTTACTTTGTACATATAGTAGGGTCTCCCCTGAATCTGGGAGCCCCATGAGCTGCTGGTACTCCCAGCCACAGGGGTACACCATGCCCACTGTAAAACTCAAGCCCTGAGGATCATGGGAGCTGTGATCCCCAGGGTCCCGGAGTTTCCCATATGTCCAAGTCCTAGGGATTGCTGAAGCCATGATCCCAAGGATCCTGGGTTTCCCACACCCCTGAGCCCTGGGGACTGTGCTGCAATCACTAGGACTCGGCAGTGCAGGAAACCGCCCTCGGGCTCAGGGGCACAGAAAATCCTTCGATCGAAGGGACTGTGGCTGCTGTGATCCCTAGTGGTTCAGGATATGGAAAACCCCTGAGGCCAGAGCATCACAGTGATTCTCTGGCCTCAGGAGTTTCCCCACACCCTTAGGACCAAAGGACTGCCACTGTAGGGATACTCCAGCCCTGGTGGTTTCCCCATGCCCCTGGAGCTGGGAGATTGCTGCAACAGCAATCCTCCAGCCCCGGGAGTGCATGGGGCACCCCTGTGACTGGAAGCCCCTCAACTGAGTTGCATGGGCCTCCCAGCCACCACAGCTTGCTGGTACAAAGGAAGCCCAGGACTGGGCTCCCCCTGCACTGGCAATAAGGCACAATGCAATCTAATGTGTGTTCCCAAAATTGTGCCTCCTGCCATAAGTGTGTGGCATGGCAGGAGGCAGGAATATATGATTTGTGTATTAGGTCCCATTGCAATTTTAGCTTCACGTGTAAAGGGGGCCTGAGTCGCTAATGGTTTTGTATTTTTTTTTTCCTTATATATCATTAAATTCCATTTTTTTTAATAATGTAGTTTTCCATTGCTACTGAAACGTTATTTCAGCTTTAACTCTTTTTATAGTAATCATTTTGTTTGTGAATGAAACAATGTCCTTTATTATTACCTGGTACCACCTATTTTAGAAATGTATTACAATTATTTACAGATGCATCTCTCAGTAACAGTTCAATTCTCCCTCAAATGGCAAGAGAAACATTTTTATGCATACAATATACAAATGTATGTGAAAATATCCTGAATTCAGTGTCAGAAAAGTCCTGTTCATCTAGGTAAGCACGTCTTTCATTTTCAGAATTCCTTGTATCAGATCTGAACAATAAATCAATCAATCTATACCCCCAAAAGAAAAGTGGGGAAAAAAGAAAAAAAAATACTAGTAGTTTATTTTTGGTCCTATTCCCAGAATAATTTGGTTCTTTCAGGCTGATGCTAAGACTGACATCTTCCTATGCTCAGCAATCAGTTTGTAAATGTTAACTTTTGGTGTAAAATCCTTCACCTTGAACACAAAAGCAATCCATCACTTCAATTCAAGGAAACAAGGACAAAGGAAAGCTCTACACAGCTAAATTCTTTCTATTTAGACTTTGGTCTCCCATACTTGGGCTATACCAAATGATCATGAATAGAAATATTCTATATCCATTCATTTTCAATACTACTTTGGATGTGACAAATGCTGCTGTCTGTGCATAATTGCTACTGAAGTTTCCTGAAGTAAATTCCAGATTGAACCTTGTCAAGGCCTATCAGCTGTTAATGACAGCATAATTATGAGAGTTTCAGTTGTTTTAAACTATAAAGGTTGCCACAAAGCATTAACTCTTCCTTTGAATGTTTAAAAAGAAAAGAACTAGAAACATTTGAGTAATAACTCCACAGCAGGATCAGAGCTTAATTATATATCTGGATTCGATGGACAGCAATTAAAAACCTCGATAGAACAGACAATTGTTTTGGGCCTTGGCTGATGATAAACAAGTTCCTTATCACATCAATGGACATTTTCACTCAGAAATGTTTATATAAAAAAAATGTTCCCAAAATGTCTAAGTTTCTTGTGTTAACAGTTCAAAAAGTATTCCTTCCTGAACTAGGTCTCCTTCCTGAATCCACATCCAGAAGTGTCCTTCCCTTCAGCTGACACTTAAAGATAAGGGCTACCTTTACACTAGTCTGAAATTTATTCTACCATTAAAAGATACATTCTTACTCCATTCCCATAACTGGAGCTTCTAAGTTACTGTAGATCAGGAAGTCAGTTTTAAATTTTCATTATTTTCTTTAGAGAAGGATTTTGCTGAGGCTTCTAGATAACCACACTCTTTATAACTCTGCTTTGTAATTTATGCTTTAAAAAGTCAAGATAGTCCACAATTCATTTAGTCACACTCTCCATAAATTATAAATAGCAAAAGTTGACTTTAATATAGTGGGGGGAAAAAACATAGGCTGCAATAAAATGTTAGAGGACAAAATTTTGATTTTGGTAACACCAGAATAATTCTGGAGTAGTTGCACTGATTTGATTTAATTCAAGTATACACTGGGTATGGCAGACAACATCCTGTGGCCCACAACAATTGAAGACATTTGTTTCAGTACTTAAGCCTATTTCCCCCTTCTCTTCTGAGTCTATTACAGTATATCAGTCAATGTACGATATTCCCTTTATGCCTAGCTACATATTTATATGTATTTGCAAATAATTCACGCCCCCCACCTCCTTCCCCACCACATTCTTCCATACTTCTCTTACTGAAAATATAGAATCATAGAACCACAGAAAAGTGGGGCTGAAAGGGACCTTATGTGCTCATCTTGCCCAACCCCTATCCAAACCATCCCATACAAGCATTTGTCTAACCTATTTGGAAAACTCTACTAAATATGCAATGAGAACATATTTACTAAAGATACCAAGAACACCTTAACAAGCCACAGGTAAAGTAGGGGGACAACGGTCAGTATTCCACCACAGCAAGTGCTTTTAAAATGCACTCTAGAGATATGGTTAACTGAACCTACTATTTTTTAAGGCACTCCTAATATTACTTCTGTTACAATTCTCATTTTCTTTAATAGCAACATTGACATGCAGACACTTAAAAATGCTATACAAACCTAGTATTCAGTTGCATTTTTTAAAAAGGACAGATATACATTTTTTTCTTTTAAATGTACCCCCAAAATATGATATTCTGAAATATTTACATCTATCACTTCCATAATATTAACTTTGTTTTCTTCAGTTCCTTCTCAAAATGGAAAGTAGTAGATTATAATAGTATATAACGCATGGCATCCAGGCGTATATTAATTTTAATAATCCAAAAATGCTTACAAGTCAAAATCTAATCTAAAATGGCAGAGGTCTCCAACTACCTCAGTACAGTCAAATAACATAAAGCAAGATGGAGGAGTGTTATGCTAAACACAGGAAGGAAAGGACATGTTAGCAAAAAAAAAAAAAAAAAAAAAAAAACTTTTAAGAAAAAGCTTCTATTTCTGGAAACCACCCATACAAAAGCAATGGCCCAAGATACAAAGACCAGAAAACCTTTGCTCACAAGAATGACTATAGAGAAAAGTCTTTCAAACTCAATCAGACTCTTGGACAAACACATAAGTACACTGGTCACAACACAACTTCTGAATTTCTGTTGCACAGGAATGTTGACAGTTCAAAATTAGCTTTAATTCCATAGTGAACATTTATCCAAGGTCTTTATGAAGATGAATCAAAATATTTCTAGCCAAACGCTATGAGCAAAGGCTCAGGAGCACACATCCAATAGCACTAGGGAAAAAGGCTGCATTTTGGGGAACGTGAAGATTGTTCTAAGCCTTGAAATTGTTTGTAATTTTTCAGTAAAGTAAAGTAGCCAGGAGCGAAATACAGTCATGTAAGTGAATTTATCCCACTGAACCATTTTCTGAAAGAAACCTGAAGAAATGCTATATCATAGCCGCATGGCATGCCAGGAAAGTTGTTTATTTGTACAACTAACAAATTCTCAGCAGTATAAAAGAGCAAATGTTGAACTGCAGTTAAACTTTCGAACCCTTGTCCTTGACCTACACACACAGTTTTTAATGGATGAAACACAGGAACAGGATGCCAAAGAGAAACATCACTATGCAGTACACATTAAACAAGAAGTTAATTCCAGCTCTGTTGCCCTTCCCCTTGTATAAGTAGCATAAAAGTGGTCTAATTATATCAGCTCCTGTTCATGTGTATTTGGTCATGAAAATGTGTCAGGAAGGATTTTCTCCAAGGACTTAACACACTGGTAGCAGTAGTTGTGCTTTACTTGAAGCATAACATGCAGTGTCAGGGTACTAATTTTGTTATCGTTACATTCTGTTTTTATATTCCTTAATTACTGGGAACAGCTCACTTTAACAGAGCCCCATCCTATTACTAGAAGGGGGAGGAAGCTTCTAGCTTCCTGGCTTAATCCCCCTCCTTTAACTCCTTTCCCTTTTTGCACTCTTCCCTCCCCTACCTTTGTATGTGCTTGCTGGTGTCTTTCCCTTGGTTGAGGTTCCTTCCTCCTCCTTTGTCCCTCACCTTCTTCCACTTTGCCTCAATCCTCCATCTCTCCTTCTCTGCCAGTGCCCCAGGGATGAAGACAGAGCTTAATCCAAAGGCAAGCAGAACTTGCAACAAAATGGCCCCCAGATCCAGGTGCAGGCAGAGCCTGATAACCCAGGGAGGGGCAGTAGAGGAGTCATGTAACCCAGAGCCTTATATAAGCCCATGCCGTGGATTACAAGTGTAGTGGCAGTTTTTAGGGATAGGATTCTTTGCAAGAGGACTAGACAAACTATGGCAATGACTCAGGAGGTAGCTCCAGGTGAAAGAAAACTGGCATCATGTATAGGAAGCAAGGGTACTATGGGTACTTTTTGTTTGGCTTCTGGGCTGTTGTTTGTTTTTGGTTTGGGCTTTATTTTGTTTGTTTGTTTGTTTGTTTGTTTTGTAGGTGAGTCCTACCACTGAAGGGTAAGGTGAATCTCCTGTGGGACATTCCTTTGAACTAGGATGGGTGCTTACATTTTGGGAGGTCTCGTTCTTCCTCCCCCTGATGGAATAGGCTATGGCTAATAGGGGTGGAGGATGCCACAGAAAGGGAGGGACCCCAAAATTGAGATTGCCCTGTGCGGAACATAGCCACAGACTGTAACTAAAAGAGATCCTATGGCTGTAGAAGGCACAGACTGAGGGCCAGTGGGCCCACAGCCTGAGAAGAACAGGACTTGGTCTCTGGGGCTATAGAGCCTAGTGCCTGGAGTAGGGTGCAGATGGGGCCTGGGCAGAGAGAGGGGGAACCCAAGGAAGTTCAGCAGCCTGAGAGGGGCCAAAGATAAAGCTCTTTAAGAACCAGACCAGAAGCTAGCAATCCTGAAGCTTGATTTGGTTAATGGACTATAATGGCTCGAAAATTGTCTTTTTAAATAAATTATTCTTGATACACTTCGAACATCTGGTGAAGTAAATTGTTGCTCACAAAAGCCTATGTTTCTGTGATTCAATTGTTCTTTAAGGGGCGACTCTACCTTGGCTAGGTATACCTCTCTACACTGTACAGTTAAAGATGATTACTGCTGTGGATTGATAAGGAACCAAGATACAGCAGGCCAAAAGTCACTTTGGTTTAATTTGTGGGTTGGCCAATGTCTTCTGAGTTATCTCCTTCATCAACTAAGTAACAGTTAGGTAACGTTTGTTTGTTTGTTTGTTTTGGTTTTTTTTATTTTTTTTAAATCCAGTTAGCATTATTATATAGCATATGTAAGTGGCATGAGTGGAGGATCTCTGGAGATGGCAATGTCTAGCAGCCAGTGGAAAAGGTAACTTTCATTCAGGATTGTTTGCTTTAAAATGCTGATGTTCATTAGGAAATAAATACAGGTTTCCCTCACTCTATGCTGTACATGCATTCCTGGAAAACGGTGCATAGCTCAAATTTGCATAAAGGGAACCCACTCTACGATGTAACAAATGAGGATATGTTCCAAGACGCTGACTGTACTGACCCCCCAACCTATTTCTGCCACTTTTTTACAAGACAGTTTTGGTATTTGCCAACAGCAGACCTTGCATACGAGCGCAAGGTGGTGAATGTTATCATAACAGGGATGGCAACAATAGAAACACTTCTTGCAGATAACAAGTGAGGAGCACAGATCCACACAGGAGACTATACTTTGGTGTATATCACTCCCACAATGCACTGCACAAAGCACCAGACAGTGGGCTTCCACTACACCAATTGCATAGGAGTGAATTTACCTTGCATATAATGAATTTTTTTTATATTAAAAAAGGTCATGGCATAGGAGCAAATTTTGCACATACAGAACCTGCATAAAGCAAGGGAATCCTGTATAAATAATATTTTACTTCCTATCACTAAGTCACATCTATTTATGTTGAAAGCACTATCCAAAATGGTATAGAATACTGGAAAAAGATGGATACTCCCTATGACTATGCCTGCATCCTCTAGTTCAGTGGTTCCCAAACTCTGGCAGATTGCACAACACCAATTTAAAATGATACAAACTTAAGTACCACCAGCAAATTTTTGCCATATAACTAATTATAATTAACCTGTTAATGCATACCACTGACAAGTTATCTGCGTACCACTGGTGGTACTGGTACCACAGATTGAAAACCACTGCTCTAGTTCATGGCTATGCAACTTCTGAGGGACTAGGAGCTGCAGGATCCCTGGCCAGATGCTGCGCAGCCTATAACTCCCTACCCCCCTGCCCAGCCACACGGCATGGAGACCACACACAGCACTGTTCCAATATCTCCAAAATGTACCCCATGCCCTGGGATACCTGGGCATGGGTTCTGTTAGGATGGTGTGGCCCACAGCTGTCCCAACACCATGGGGGACAAGAAGGAGAAAAGGAAAGGGGAGTCCAAATACCACGGCTACAGCAGCAAAAGATTGATTGGAGTCAGGGGCAGCAGACTGGGAGCCTGAAGGCTGCTGATTAACTCCTTGGGGGCTGTCAATTGGATATCCTCATTTTATTTTAAGTAATATGGGCCCAATGCTTTTAAATTTATGTAGTTATATGAAAGATTAGTACTCGGTCTATTAAGTGATAATTCATATACATAAATTTACCAAGCTATTCTCAATTCCAGAAATTTGCATCAGTAGAACAAAATTGCAAACAAAATGCCTGGTTCTGAATGGACACCAAACCCATTGTTTTTTTTTTAATTGCCAGTACAAAAGTTTTAAGATCCTTACTATAAATAGATCATTGTCTTGCAGTTTCCGTGGGAAGCAACATAAGCACAGATATTGCAACATTTATGATAGCTACAATATAACAGACAATGCTGCCTCTTAATTAAATCAACAACACAGAAAACAAATATAATAAAAGAACTTATATAATTGCTATGGGTGAGCACTATCTTACTTTATGTAGAAACTCGTTTTCCAATCTTATCCAAAACTATGTAGTTAAGTGACTTGCCTATGCCAAACAGACACTAAGGTTTAGATAGATCTTGCTTAGATAAGATTCAATTTACATCTAGTTGTAAAAAAAAAAAGTACTATGTGATAGCATCTAGGATCCTGAATCATGGACCAATTGTCTATGGGCTACACAAATACAGAACAAGAAGACAGTCTTTATGCCAAAGACTTTAAACGTATATACCACTGAGGTAATTCTCATGAGCAACTAAAAGCAACTGGAAAAAATGGCAGATTGTATCTACTGCTTTCAATTATATAGTGACCATATTATTGGTAAGGAAATAAGGGACACTAGGTTTCAAGTGAAGGCAAAGTAGCATGGTACACCAGGCACGCAGGCAGGTATCACTGGTGTTGTGCAGGACCATAGTAGGCAGACTAGACATGCCCAGCCCAGCCCACCCCTCATCTCCAGCCACTACTCAAGAGGAGCTGGGCCAGGACAGTGCAGGAGGTATCTGCCTACTTTGCTCCTGCACAGGAGCAGCAGTGCCTTCCCACCTGTCTACTGGTGCACCATACCACTCCAGCTCTCTGGCAGGCTGTGATCTGCACGTTTGCCTGCAGCGGGGCCTCTGACTTGGGAGAGGGGGGTTCCCAAAATACGAGCTTGCCCAGGGCTTCATTTTCCCTAAGGCAGGCCCTGCTCCCGCACATTCATGCACAGTACAGCTAGTAGAGAAAGAAGGGATCATGGTAGGTGGCCAATTCCAGGACTGTCATTTCAATTTTCACCAACTAGCCAAGATGCTGGGATGGCCTACGAAATCTGGGAGTGTCCTAGTCAAACCAGGACACATGCTCACTCATAATTATAGAGATATGTTTGCAACAGTTTCAAAATCGGACCCCTTGCTGGTTTTGTTGAATTCTCAGATTTTTCTAAAATGTTCAAGCAACAATATTTGCCATATGCACTACTTATGATTTGTGCTTGGAAAAGAAATGTAGCCCTTTCCTTAAAGATATATGGGTGGGCTTGTTTCTGATTCTGTTGTCCCATATAAATTGCTATTACTTAAGTGTACCTTCGTGGGTCATATATTAAACACATTCAGAAACTCTAGGTAGTGTAGAGGGTTGTTCTCCATTTAGTAATATTTTGTTATTACTAAATGATGAACATACAAATGATTTCGAGGTATAGTTTATTGTGGTGCTCTGCCGAGAAAGCAATGCTACTAACAAGCCCCTGCTTTATAAAGGAAGTAGCTGGTTTCAGGGTGTTCCACTGAAAATATTCTACATTTCTAATTCATTTCCTTCCAAGATTTAGTGACACATATCAAGGTTCCTCTCTTTTCTTAAGCTTGAGAAGAGAGGGATTAGGGAAAAGGGCTTGGAAAGAATGGAAAGAAGAAATATATTTGCATAAAAGGTAAACTATATCCTATAGCAAGTTCAACTAACTTCCACAGCAGATGATTCAGCTTGGAAACAATGTCAGAACCAGACAAAGTGCTGAATAGTATAAAATAGGTCACTGTCCCTGGGTACAACAGTTTCTCTCTGCGGTTCCTGAAACAACTTGTTCCATGTGCTCATCCTGAGCTAGTCCATTTCTTCATTCTGGTTATCGGAGAATGCAAGCTTCAAAGGTAATCACCTTACTAAAGCCAGGGAGCACACGCGTTACAGCAAACTATGGGCTGCCATTATCTCTATGCTTTAAAGCACTGGAATGTTACATCCTCCAGTGCATTTCATCAGAGGTGCAGGCCACTCTGAAAGCTGAAGAGGATGGATTTTGGTAAGGATGCTGATAAGAATGTTTTGATAAGTTCTGGTGCTTACTGCTTATATAAAAATAGCTTTCAGTAAAACCTTGGGACAGAAGCCATAATTCTGGTATTCCTGGACTGTCCCTGTCTACTTACAACAGTTTTGCAAACAAGTCATTTTGTCAAAATATTCAGAGTTCTACCAAAATGAGTGGCAATTGCTAAAAAACTGTTTCTTCATGACAAACAGTTAAGTGTGACTGGGAGATAAAACAAGTGGTTG